ACACTCACACTGTTTATTGCACTTGGGGTATTTTTTGCACAAGAGAATATTGAAAAACACAAAAGCTCAAGAAAATTGATTCATCTTCAGGAAAGTTCTAATAAATAAGGGAACTTGGATGCATATTTTGAGCAAGTTACAACCACAAAATGACACAGGATTTTCTTTTCCCCCTCTTTGTTGGAGCCATAAAATAAAAAACCCCTAGCTGAAATACCAGGACTGTCCAAGTTTGAAACTGTTGAGTTTGAAGCAAGACAGGGAAAATATGTTGCTTAGAATGGAACATTTAATTTAAATGTTTGTTTTCATGCTGATTTATTCCACTTCAGGGGATGATGAGCAAAAACCTTCTTGGAGAAACCCTGTTCCTTTTTTGGTAATTCCTCCATGAATAAAAGCACCATAAATGACCCAGCTGAATAATTAGTGCTGTAAATATAGAAAGAATGCCCACTTTTTCATATAGAATTTTATTTTGGCAAAGTTTGACTGAAAAACTCTGGAGCATGTCTTACACTTGAGTAAAAACATTATATGTATAGAGACACATATTTATAATGGCAGTAATTTTAGATAAAGTCAAAGCCAGTTAATGGGACCACATCTGGACTCAATCATTCTTGTACTTTTAACTTCTGGCTTGTCCTTTTACACAAATATGCCAAATTTGCAAGTACAGTAAAAGCATATCACAATGCTGGTCTGACACCATTGTGGTATGCAATGACTGTGTCACAATGGTGTGAAACCATCATCACATGTGACAATGGTGCAACAACAGTTTCAAACATGATATAGATTATTATTTATACTCTTAACCATTGGACAGCAGTGCCAGGATTTATCTGCAAAATTTTGAGCCACAAGGAATAAAAAAAAAGGCATGAGAGAACACAAATGCTTAGAAGAGCTCAGAAAAATCCCATATTTATCAGCGTTCCCGCAGAAGCGTTTTCATAACAAAAAAAGTACCATTGGGTGGCATGTTTCTGCATTTCTGAGCATTGAGGTATTTTGAGAACCCTGGCTTTCCCTTTGCCAGATGTTTCTGCAATTTTGATATAATACTCAGCCAAATCTGAATTTCAGTAACCTTTGGTCAAACCAAAATTCACCAGCGTGCAAAAATATCCTGGCACCACCTCTGGATGGAATTTAACCCCCCACTGTCCAAAGATTGAGAGAATTTCAAGAAATGCATGAACTTTCTTTGGCTCAATTAAGCAGACTTCTGGTCCAATAAAGCAACCAACATTTCCATCATCTCAAAATGGGGTTTGTTCCTGTTCTAGACAATTTGGTCCAAATAAGCTGCTGCTGGTCCCATCCATTGTTGTGGTCCAATTATAACTGGCTTCAACTGAATTTCACTCCACCTCATCCTTCAGTGACAAAAAAGTATACATCATACCAACAATTCAGTAAAAAAAAGGTTAGAAATTGCAAATAACCCTTTATTGTAATTTTAAACAACTCAATTAAGTATTGTTTCAAAACTTGGACAACCTCATATTTTTCACAGCACCTACCTCATGACTATCTCTACATAAATTTTCCAACAATTCAGAAAAAAGGTTAGAAATTTCAAATAATGCTTATTTATTGTAATTTTGAACAACTCAATTAATTTTTGTTTCAAAACTTGGACAACCCCTTTTTTTCACAGCACCTACCTCTCATGCCTATCTCTACATAAATTTGCCAATAATTCAGAAAAAAAGTAAGAAATTTCAAATAATGCTTATTTATTGTAATTTTGAACAATTCAAATAATTTTTGTTTCAAAACTTGGACAACCCCCTTTTTTCACAGAACCCACCTCATGCCTATCTCTACATACATTTTCCAACAATTCAGAAAAAAGGTTAGAAATTGCAAATAATCCTTCATTGTAATTTTGAACAACTCAATTAATCATTGTTTCAAAACTTGGACAAACTATTTTTTCACAGCACCTACCTCATGGCCTATCTCTACATAAATTTGCCAACCCTTCAGAAAAAAAAGTTATATAAATTGAAAATAATCCTTTATCCTAATTTTGAGCAACTCAATTAATTATTGTTTCTAAACTCGGACAACCTATTTTTTTTAAAGAACCCACCTCAAAATAAATTTTCCAACAATTAAAAAAAAAAACTATTAGAAATTCCAAATAATCCATTATTGTAATTTTAAACAACTCAATTACTTATTGTTTCAAAACTTGGACAACCCCCTTTTTTTCACAGCACCCACCTCAAGCCTATCTTCACATACATTTATTTTTCTCTCAATCTCTGCTGGCTCTTCCAATTCTGATGTAAAGCACCAGTTCTGTATTATACATATATAAAGAACACAACTCAGCATGACGAATCACGACAACAACACATTATTCTCCCGGTGATGGGTAGCACCATCATCATCATCATCATCATCACCAGTCGACAGGGTCTTGATCATTGTCTCGACACGAGTGTCGGTGTCGACGACGACGTCGGTGTCTAACACCGGTTCGTAGAAGGGATTGACAAACGAGAAGCCCTGGAAGTACTCGGGCTCAATGTTGTCAATGACGAACTTGTCCACAGGCGAGTTTTCCACTCTGGCCCTCGTGAACATGGTGTCAAAATTCTCTCCCAGCCGAGGGTTCTTCTGCTCGATCAATCAATCAATCAATCAATGAATCAACAACGACGACGTCATCCCCAAGAAAAAAAAATTTAAACAACAACAACAAAAAACAAGAAAAGAAATAAAATACTGAAATTAATCAAGCCTCTTTAGGATACAGGTGAACTCTCTCATCTATACAACAACAAATTTGTTCTACAGAGAATTTCATTGTATAGAGAATCCACAAGAAATTCTTCATGCAGAAAAAAAAATATTTGTTGACAAGATTATTGTTTTATAAAGAGAAAGTCCACCTGTTTCAACTTTTGCAAATTCAAGCCATAACTTATATATATATATATATATATACTGAATATACTGTACAAAGGCATTTCTGCAGGCAAACCCGCAGCTGATGTTATTGGCACAAATCAGAAAATGCATTTCTTTTGCAAGGAAAAGCTCTGAAAAATTGCATGTCAATTAAAAAAGGCCATTGAATTTGGTGCATTGGATATTTTTATGAACAAGTAGAACTGACACAAATCAAACTTCATGGGATCAGCAAATAAAATTGAATCAAGGAAAACAATTTTGTTGATGAGGCAAAGAAGAAAAACTTTCAAAAAATTTTTTCTTTGGGATATATTCTGGGTTTTGAATTTCCTTTTAAATGAATTGACAATATGCTGAAATTGGAGACAAGGATTTTATTTGAACAATTCATCTTTCAATTCCTTTCAAAATACATCAAGTTATAGTTTTATTGCTTTTGCATTTCCTGTGTCAATAAAATGATCAAAAAAAGACTTCAGAAATGTTCAGTTATGGAGAAGATTTTAATAAATTATTTCAAATGGAATTGAGACAGGGCCTACCAAACAATTTTAAACAAAATGGCATTACATTCAAATAGTAGACATAATTTCAAGCCTATACATGCCCATGAAAATAAGAAAAACCTTCTCAATAATCTACAAATTCATTTTGACTCGCAATTTTCCCTTCAATACTTCAAAATTGCTCATGTTCACTCTTCCTCAATGACCAAACTCTCCCTTTTTCATCAAATGCTCAAAAAGAAACAGCACTTTTCTGAATATGTACCATATCATGATCAGCAACTATTTGCATAAGTTCACAGCAGTGATTAAATTCAAAGGCAAAGCTAACTAATATAACATGCTTCCAAGAAAAAGCGCAGCAGCTCTTGCAGACAAACACCAATGCATATTGTATTTATATTTTAATTGCATACAAAAATTCAAATAAATTGTGCAATTGAAGACCTCAGTAAGTGAGACTGTGCTGAAAGCGCCAAATGTATGCATAAGAATACACTTCCACTTAAAGATGCTATATACAGTTGAACCTCTTCAAGTCAAATTTCAAGGGGCCAAAAAAAGAATACAACTTCCAGAAATAAGATTATTGTTGGGGGAGGGGGGAGATACAAAACTTCATGAAATTTCAATTGGTGGTATTCTGGGTCTCAAATTGCCTTTTAAATGAGTTCACGGGACGCTAATAAAGGAGGCAAGGTTTCATTTTCTCAATTGGTCTTAAAAACACATCAATTTACATTTTTATTGCTTTTCTATTTACTGTGTGAATAAAATAATAGCCAAAAAGGCCTCCGCAAAATTACGGTGTTGTAGTGAATTTAAGAGGGGGGGAACCTTTGATTCAAGGAAGTTTTTTGTACATGATCAAGATGAACTGTTGGATTTATATGATTTCTCATCAAAGATTCTCTCAAATTTGTTCATTCAACTAAACCTCATACAGAAACAAGCTGAAGACCTTGTGCTTTAAATTAATTTTTACATATATTTTGTCACCAATGTCAGGGAATGAATGGGTGTATGTTTTGCAGATAATATTCTCCTGCAATTTTTTTTTGTGCATATAATATTTAACTGCATTTTTTGTTGACATTTTTGCAGTTAATCTTGTACTATATTTTTTTAATATGTGCAGGTACTATTTCATGTTGTATTGTATTTTCTTTTATGTTTGCTATCAATTTGTGCTTTCCTGCTCTGAAGTGATTAAAATGTCATTGAGTGGATTTGGGTTTGGTTGTGGAAATCTTGATTGAACCTCATGAACGCTGAAAAGCGGCAAATGAAGTGTTCTGTTCATTCATTCATTCATCATTCAAGTAAGTTTTTAATGCATTGTGTCCAAGGGAATTCATGCAGGGATTAAAAAAAAAATTAAATTTAGTCAAAAGTTTGACTTTTTCAGGTTCAACTGCACCTTTGAACTACAGAGACAACTATTTACCAAAGATTTCTGTCTATATAATAATGAATTCTAACATGTTTATAAGACAGAAAGGCGTTTTCACAGTACAATACATGGCATGTAAAATGAGAAGATATAAGATATCTTACAATTTTAGGCTTGAAAGGTGGCTGAACTTCTCGAGCTTCGATCTTGTCCCAGTCGATCCTCCGGAAGAATGGGTGTCCACGAACGTCTTCTTCGCCCTTGGGTCCGTTACCCAATCGTTTCCCAGGGCTTTTTGTCAGCAGCTGTGACATTTCATCAAGACAAAAAAAGGACCTCAAATTACAGCATTCAGTAATACTTTATAAAAAAAATATATCGAATCTCAAGAACTCATCAAGCCTCCACCACTTTTTTTTTTTCAAATAAACGCCACATTTTGGGATGAGAATTTGGTGGCTGCTGAAGAAAATGGCGGGATTATTTATATGGTAACCCAGATTATTCATTCCAAATTCTTGAAAATGAAATTATGACAATCATTCTTAGGATTGCTTCAAAGTCTTCCAGGATAATTCCAACACTTTTATTTACCTTGCACATATTTATATATATATATTGCTATTTCATATAAACAGCAGCAGAATAAATGTTTTTGGATAGTATGCAGTATTCTACTTCACAGTGTTGACCCTTGGTTAACAAAAGTACTGTAATTGGTCCCAGACAAAAGTTTCTTAACCAAAATTGATTTTCTCCATACACTTCAATGGGGAAGAATTTAATCCATTCTGTGAACCCAAGAGACAAATGAACATTAAAAAAATTCAAGACCATCAACTATAATCAGAATAAGTTATTGGTGCATCTTACATAAGCCAAGAATGTTTTTATAGTGTTATATGAAATTAGCACTGATGAAAAAAAAAAGAATAGTTTCACACATAGGAAAACAATATACATGTCAGGTAAAAATGAAATTTCTTCTTTTAATGCTGCAAGTAAAGATCAAATTGATCTCTCCAACAATTGAACAGCTAGAAAAGCTAAGCACATAAATTCAAATAACTTTGTAATAGAAAAGCATGTATGAAGACTGCAACTGAAACAAATTTTAAAACACAAGATTACACATACATTAGAGGGCCAGCAGATGGGAAGAATAATTGTATCACTGATAAGGTGAAATATTATTTGCACCTAATATTGTGCCATAAATTTCACCATTGAAACAAAATTTTGAATTTTCAAATTAGGGATTTTCCGCAGAAAAAGGGTTTGTTGACCAAATTTTGATTTGTCATAATCAAGGGAGTGTGTTCTCTTTTGTTTTTGTCATTGGTTTATGCTTTGTTTCATGCTTTGAAGTGATTGAATGTATTTTGGGGGAGTTGGGTTGGGTGGGGGTTTGGATGCAGGAGTTTTGTTTGTACCTTGTGAACGCTGAAAAGCAGCAAATAAAGTTTTCTGTTCATTCATTCATTCAATCAAGGGATTTTTCTTAAATCCAAAAGTTTTTTTTTTAACCAAGGGTTCACTGCATTTACAGTAACATTTTCTTACAACAAAGTCCTTGTGACCAGTAAAATATAGCAGCATTGCAACAAACAAATTTCCATGAACAACTGTGCCATAATTTACAGTATGGCTATTATAGACAGAGACCTGAATAACATATTTGTTGCTGCCCAGCAAATATTTTTTCCACTTTTCATGGATAGAAAAACCCATGAAAAACTGTCACCTGTAATCATCACAGGTAAATGGCCCCTCAGACCATTGGTCATGGGTTACAGAACAGTTATTTTCATGGGTTAATAGTGCATCATGAAAGTAATGGGTGAAATGACCATGACATAATAATAATAATAATCTCAAGGAATATTCAAATACTGCACATACATGTACATCAATCAAATATCCCTGATAATGAGATTCTATACACTGCAAAAACACCTTGTTTTCATTTGATATACAAACAGCAGGCCAAAAAAAACGTCTTTGGGTGACACACACACACACAGCCCTGATCCTCTCATATAATATTATATGCACACTTGCATACACTGGAATAAACAACAATATATTGTTAGATGATGGGCAAGTGTGTGTTTGGTGGGGGGAAGGTTGACATTNAGTGAATTTAAGAGGGGGGGAACCTTTGATTCAAGGAAGTTTTTTGTACATGATCAAGATGAACTGTTGGATTTATATGATTTCTCATCAAAGATTCTCTCAAATTTGTTCATTCAACTAAACCTCATACAGAAACAAGCTGAAGACCTTGTGCTTTAAATTAATTTTTACATATATTTTGTCACCAATGTCAGGGAATGAATGGGTGTATGCATACATGTCAGATGTCCAGTTGTATTTCATGTTGTATTGTATTTTCTTTTATGTTTGCTATCAATTTGTGCTTTCCTGCTCTGAAGTGATTAAAATGTCATTGAGTGGATTTGGGTTTGGTTGTGGAAATCTTGATTGAACCTCATGAACGCTGAAAAGCGGCAAATGAAGTGTTCTGTTCATTCATTCATTCATCATTCAAGTAAGTTTTTAATGCATTGTGTCCAAGGGAATTCATGCAGGGATTAAAAAAAAAATTAAATTTAGTCAAAAGTTTGACTTTTTCAGGTTCAACTGCACCTTTGAACTACAGAGACAACTATTTACCAAAGATTTCTGTCTATATAATAATGAATTCTAACATGTTTATAAGACAGAAAGGCGTTTTCACAGTACAATACATGGCATGTAAAATGAGAAGATATAAGATATCTTACAATTTTAGGCTTGAAAGGTGGCTGAACTTCTCGAGCTTCGATCTTGTCCCAGTCGATCCTCCGGAAGAATGGGTGTCCACGAACGTCTTCTTCGCCCTTGGGTCCGTTACCCAATCGTTTCCCAGGGCTTTTTGTCAGCAGCTGTGACATTTCATCAAGACAAAAAAAGGACCTCAAATTACAGCATTCAGTAATACTTTATACAAAAAAATATATCGAATCTCAAAAACTCATCAAGCCTCCCCCACTTTTTTTTCAAACAAACGCCACTTTTTTGGATGAGAATTTGGTGGCTGCTGAAGAAAATGGCGGGATTATTTACATGGTAACCCAGATTCTTCATTCCAAATTCTTGAAAATGAAATTATGACAATCATTCTTAGGATTGCTTCAAAGTCTTCCAGGATAATTCCAACACTTTTATTTACCTTGCACATATTTATATATATTTATTGCTATTTCATATAAACAGCAGCAGAAGAAATGTTTTTGGATAATATGCAGTATTCTACTTCACAGTGTTGACCCTTGGTTAACAAAAGTACTGTAATTGGTCCCAGACAAAAGTTTCTTAACCAAAATTGATTTTCTCCGTACACTTCAATGGGGAAGAATTTAATCCATTCTGTGAACCCAAGAGACAAATGAGCATGAAAAAAAAATTCTAGACCATCAACTATAATCAGAATAAGTTATTGGTGCATCTTACATAAGCCAAGAATGTTTTTATAGTGTTATATGAAATTAGCACTGATGAAAAAAAAAGAATAGTTTCACACATAGGAAAACAATATACATGTCAGGTAAAAATGAAATTTCTTCTTTTAATGCTGCAAGTAAAGATCAAATTGATCTCTCCAACAATTGAACAGCTAGAAAAGCTAAGCACATAAATTCAAATAACTTTGTAATAGAAAAGCATGTATGAAGACTGCAACTGAAACAAATTTTAAAACACAAGATTACACATACATTAGAGGGCCAGCAGATGGGAAGAATAATTGTATCACTGATGAGGTGAAATATTATTTGCACCTAATATTGTGCCATAAATTTCACCATTGCAACAAAATTTTGAATTTTCAAATTTGGGATTTTCCCCAGAAAAAGGGTTTGTTGACCAAATTTTGATTTGTCATAATCAAGGGAGTGTGTTCTCTTTTGTTTTTGTCATTGGTTTATGCTTTGTTTCATGCTTTGAAGTGATTGAATGTATTTTCGGGGAGTTGGGTTGGGTGGGGGTTTGGATGCAGGAGTTTTGTTTGTACCTTGTGAACGCTGAAAAGCAGCAAATAAAGTTTTCTGTTCATTCATTCATTCATTCAATCAAGGGATTTTTCTTAAATCCAAAAAGTTTTTTTAACCAAGGGTTCTTTGCATTTACAGTAACATTTTCTTACAACAAAGTCCTTGTGACCAGTAAAATATAGCAGCATTGCAACAAACAAATTTCCATGAACAACTGTGCCATAATTTACAGCATGGCTATAAGACAGAGGCCTGAATAACATATTTGTTGCTGCCCAGCAAATATTTTTTCCATTTTTCATGGATAGAAAAACCCATGAAAAACTGTCACCTGTAATCATCACAGGTAAATGGCCCCTCAGACCATTGATCATGGGTTACAGAACAGTTATTTTCATGGGTTAATAGTGCATCATGAAAGTAATGGGTGAAATGACCATAATATAATAATAATAATAATCTCAAGGAATATTCAAATACTGCACATACATGTACATCAATCAAATATCCCTGATAATGAGATTCTATACACTGCAAAAACACCTTGTTTTCATTTTGATATACAAACAGCAGGCCAAAAAAAACGTCTTTGGGTGACACACACACACACACAGCCCTGATCCTCTCATATAATATTATATGCACACTTGCATACACTGGAATAAACAACAATATATTGTTAGATGATGGGCAAGTGTGTGTTTGGTGGGGGGAAGGTTGACATTTACCCCCTTGCAAGCCTCCTTGGCCTCCTTGGACATGGCCTTGGGGTAGGACACGGCCTGGTCCGTGATGGCAGCAAAGAGTTCTTCCTCATCCTCTCCGTCGAACGGCGGCTGTCCCACCAACATCTCATAAAGCAACACTCCATACGCCCACCAGTCCACAGCCTTTCCATAGGGCTGGTACAATATTATCTGCACAAATTCCAGAAAAAAAACAATATACTGTTCAATATTATCTGCTCAAACATATGTATATATATATACATATACTGTATATGCAAATATATATATATATGTGTGTGTTTGTGTATATAGTGCAATATTCTCTGCACAAATAAAAAAAAAATATATAGTACAGCCTTATCTGCACAAATAGAAAAAAATATATATAGTAAAATATCATCTGCACAAATTCCAACAACAACAAAATACTGTTCAATATTATCTACACAAATTAAAAATATAATGTTAGTACAACATTATCTGCACATATTAAAAAAAGATAGTACAATATTAACTGCAAAAAAAACAATATTATCTGCAAAAATTAAAAAATACATAGATATTACAGCCTTATCAGCACAAATTAAAAATATATAGATATTACAGCCTTATCTGCACAATTTAAAAAACATATACTTTATATAGTAAAATATTATTTGCACAAATTCCAACAGAAAACAAAATACTGTTCAATATTATCTACAAAAATTGAAAAAATGAAAACACAGTTGTACAATATTATCTGCACAAATTCCAAATAAAAACAAAATACAGTTGAATAGTACCTGCACATATTAAAAAAATATAGTACAAGATTAACTGCAAAAATGTCAACAAAAAATGCAGTTAAATATTATATGCACAAAAAAAATTGCAGGAGAATATTATCTGCAAAAAACAGAATATTGCTTTTTGATCAAAATGAAAGTTAAGAGGAGGATAAACCTCCACTGAATTTTTCTCAATGAATTCTCTCCTCAACCCAGATAACAGATAACACACAGCAAGATACATTATATATAGTGGAACTTATATACTTTGAAGTGAAAATTCAATGAACCAACAAAATAATTCCAGTTGGTAAGGGTTCAAGTTGGGCAAAAAAGCATTTTTATTAGGGAAAATAAAATAAAAAAATTACAGAAAATTGCAAGTTGTCCTATTCTGAGCCTTACATTCACTTTTCAAATGATTTGACAGGATTCTAAACTTGGAGGCAGGGGTTCATTTGCCCAAAAAATCTTCCACTCCCTTTCAATGCTCATCAAGTTACTTTTTGTATTAATAATATCTTGTCTGTGTCAATGAGAAAAATAATAGACAAAAAAGGCATCCAGAAATTTCAAGCTATGGAGGTTTGAGGGGTAAAGCCTTTCAGGAAATAAATAAAAAAAATTGAGGAAGGGACATATTTTGAATAAATAAATATCCCAAGACCAATTTCCCCCCCAAAAAAAATTACTCAAGAAGACAAGTAAAAAACAGAATAGACATTCATCCACCTCAGGAGCGATGTAATCAGGAGTTCCACAGAAGGTCTTGGTTGTCTGGCCCAGGCCAATGTTCTCTTTGCACATGCCAAAATCTGCAATCTTGATGTGGCCATCTTGGTCCAGCATGATGTTGTCCAGCTTCAAGTCCCTGTACACAATGTCTTGGGAGTGCAAGTAGAAAAGGCCTACAGCAATTTCAGCAGCATAGAATCTGCAACAAAAAAAAAAAGGTCCCCCACCAAATTTATAAAAACATTATTATCCCAAATGTAACCCCCCCAAGAAAAATGCTGTAAGCAAAAGTTTATCTTACACTGCCACTGGTTCCTTGAATTTCCCACATTGCTGTATCTGGAACATGAGGTCACCTCCATTCACATATTCCATGACAAAGTAGAGTCGGTCCTGCATTCATGAAAAAAGAGAAAAAAAATTAAATTTTTTGATTACAGCAGCACAGTTCAATTTTGTTTTGTTGGGTTTTGAGAGATTAATTTTGTCTCCATTGAAGTCCATGAGAAGAACAAATCAAGTGAACAAACTTTCATCTGGAGCCAATTAAGTTTGTTGACCAATGGTCCACTGATATACAAGGTGGGCCAATAAAAATCACCCATTTTATTCATGAAAATAACTCAGTACCAAATTGAGCCCCAGCAATGAAAAAACCAAATGAAAGCTTGTTCAATTTTCTTTTACATGAGATTTGATTTTATGGTTTCAAGTGCAACTCATTTTTTTAAAAAATTGCTCCCAATCCCCCCCACCCCTTCCTGAAGTTTGGGAATGTGTGCACCCTCTTCAAGACAACATGTATAAGTTTGCTGGTTGAATCAATAGTCCTTCATCAGATTTATTCCTGAAAACAGTAGCTCAGTGGAAGGAGTTGCCAAAAAAACTTTTTATGAAAAGGAAGTTTTCATTCAAATGGCTGTTGTGACCATGCCATGGCACTTGAGACCATGAAACTAGTGTATATACCATTTTAAAAAACAAATTATACAAGCTTTCATTTGGCTTTTTTCACATATTGTCTATAAAAGCATTTTCAAAAATCCTGTAAAATGATGCTGCCACTCTCAAAAGTGTTGAAAATAGTATGAATTCCATTTGAGAATGCATTTTTTTCACATTTTATCCATCCCAATGTATACTTTCTTCATTTATGACAGGTGATCAATCTATCAAAAGAGTAAAGCTGTCCCTTCCTGGATTAGTCCTTTTGCAGATTTGGCACATGGCAAAAAGCCTGATGCAATGCAAATTTTTTAACATTGTGTCTAATAAAGGCATTTTCAGCAACTTCTGTGCACAAATCCTGAAACATGATGCTGATGACACTCCCAAAAGTGATTTGAAATGCTCAATAAGACACAGTAGTGTAGAAAACAGTAGCAATTCCTTCTAAAAATGTTTTTTTTTTTCATTGCTGTAGCTCAATTTGCTGAGTGGCCATTGTCATTCTTTTTGGGCCCACCCTGTATATAAGCACCCACCAAGCAAGTTTTTCAGCTTCTAAAATTGAAAAAACAAAAATTGTGGCTGATATTTTTCCATGTGGAAATGCAGTGAATCACATATACAGGAGCAGCTGGAAAGAACTAACCATGGTCTGGAAGCAGGAGTGGAGCTGGACCAAAAATGGCGGCTTCCTGGGCAGGGCCAGGACCCTCTTTTCAATCATGGTGCACTCCACATCGTCATCCAGGATGATGATGTCCTTCTTGAGGATCTTGATGGCATACAACTCATCAGTGCCCTTCCTTTCTGCCAACAACACCTTGACACAAGAAAAAATAAAAATAAAAAATGAAATAAAACACACAGCCCCAAGATTACACAGGTATATATATGCTGCTGGCATTAAAGCTGAAGGGTTTCTTCTATATATTTTCTCCTGTCATAAGTGTGTGTGTGTGTCCCCACCAAATAGAATAATACAAGAGTATTCTCTGTGTAGTGTGGAGAGTGAGAGAGAGAGAGAAATAAGCTGGATCCCAGCAGCTCTGGACCATCAGTCCCTATTTTCCTATGGCTTCTGCAAAAAGGCAGCAGAACTTGCATTGATCCTCTGCTGTTCTCAATATGCAAGGGTTTGTTCATAAGATTCCAGAATTTTTGAAAAATATACAACAGCGTTTCAACAACTGATATTTTCTGTTTTACTAGCTTGCACAGCCCAATCATTTGGCAACACTTGAGTGCTGTTCAACATTTTCTGCCAATTCCAAGGAATTTTTTTTTCATGCAATAAATCCAATGATTATATCAGTGTCATTTTAGAAATAGTACACCTGTATAAAACAATTTCATGGAGCACATTTTTTCTCCAGCAAACCCTGGGAAGTTTTTGAAACAAAATTCAAATATATTCTGAACAGAGATTTGTGAGGTTCATAAGAAAATTATCAAGCCTCTCCCAAAATATTGCCCTGGAAGATATTACTTCTGCTGCTTCAGACAGTTCAAAAAGCTAGATGTGTAAATGCCTATATACACTTATTTCACAATACAGTAAAAGGGGCTAAAAAAAAAGCATGGAAATTCAGTTTTAGACAAACACTGATGATTTTGAATCCCCCCCCCCCCCCACAAAAAGGACTTGATTGTCTGCAGTAGCAGCAAATAGGAGGGTTGGTTTGATAGTTTTTGAAATATATCCAACAGAGTTTCAACAATTGAAAAAAAAAAGTCATAAAGAAAAAATTTTATCCAGAAAACCCTGGGAAATGTTTGTTTAACAGGATTAAAAAATATTCTGGAGAGAGATTTGTGAGATTTATAAGAAAAGTATCAATAAGCCAATCCCCAAAAATTGCCCTTAATAATATTGCTTTTGCAGCTTTCAGATAATTCTAAGAATCTAGACATTTTTGTGCCGAACAATATTTCCCTATCCCAGTACAGTGAGTTATAAAAACAGCATTAAAGTTCACTTTCAGAAAAAAAATCAGAATTTTGAAAATCCCCTAAAAGGTCTTGATTCTCTGCAGCAGCTGCTGCAGAGAATCAACTCTTTCTTGGAGGTTTTCAAAATTCTTTTTTGTTGTCTAAACCTGACTTGAATGCTGTTTTTTTAGCACACTGTACTGTGTTGAGCAAAAACTGATGGCACTGCATAACATTTTCTAAATTTTTAAATTGTATGAAGCTGCAAAAGTAACATCCTTCAAGGCAATTTTTGGAGAAATGCCTGTTAATTTCTGATGAACCTCAAAAGTCTCTTCCCAGAATATAGTTGGATTTTGTTACAAAATACTCCTAAATGGACCAGAAGAAAATTATGATTTGCTGGTGGGCTCTCTCTACAATGAACAAGTCTACATGCAGAAGGTTTCTCAGCATAGCCATTCTTCCTGTCTATAATTCTTCCCCCCTGCAACAAAATGTTCACTTCAATGAATTATTTTTTGGTCCATTGAATTTTGTAGTAGGAAGAATTCCCCTGCATAAATATACATGGATTTATTCATGGAAAATTCAGTAGAACCCCTGATGTCCAATACATTTTCAATGCTTCTACAGAAGTGCATTAAAAACGCGTTCAAAAGAAATGGCTGAATTTGACAATTCATTTTTTTTAAATTTTCCCAGAGAGAATAAAGTCTAAAGTAGGAGTCACAGCAAGAAATTCCACTTCAGAAATTTGAAAAGGCCCTGATATAAGGACAACCCAACAGGGGTGAAGCTAAAAAAAATATTCATTCCAACATCTGATCAATGTCTTGAGATAAAGGCACTTTGCCAAAGTTTCTACACAGCAAAAATAATTTTTTTTACATCTGTTATCTGAAAATTACAATACCAAAGTGAGTGATCAACAATGATCAGTCATTGATAACTGCTTCTTATGATTAAAGGAAAAGGGATTGGAGATTTAGATCATTTTCCACAACTTTGGAAGGAAACACAAAAGTTACTCTGTGAGAGTATTTCAAATGTTATTTATTATATCTTCACACAGTCAATACAATACAATGCTACAAAGCAAAGCGGCGTGGATTCAGCGTTCAGACAGAGTCTGGTGCGGTAAACTTAATGCAACATAAAATGCACCTGTATATATAGCTTTGGCCAGCCAAGGTTGAAGAATGCGCATAGAAACCAATTTGGATGGGGGACGTCACACTTTGTTTATTCAAGGGAAGGAAGCATGAGCAAGGTTCGGAAAGTATTCCATCAACAACGGGATTGGAAAATATAAGTGCTAGCGCACCAGGCGCAGCCAAGCGTAGTGGAAATACATCAGCTTAAAAGGGTTGCGCGGAAAGTGAGGGGTGTTGTGGTCGTTAATATTGTATGACTATACATCTCTTTGAAGAAATTGAGCTTTCACATTGAAAAAAATGCAAACAAATATTTATGCATATATTCACTATAATTCATGATCCAAAAAAGCTTAATTTAGCACTTGTTGTTTTCAGTTGTTTCCATCATGTGTGCTCAGTATAGCAAGACATGTTCTGGTTTTTTGGATTTTGGGCTTCTTTTACTGCCAAAAAAAACTCAGATTCTGATTTTTTTACTTTTGCATAATTACTTTCTGTGCCTTCAAGTTGAGAAAACCTTTCTTTTCAATTTTTGTAGACTTTCTTCTAATTTTAATAATCAGGAGAACCAATTAAGAAGGTTCCCATATTGAAGTCTATGTGAAAACATGATCCATGATAATGACAGCATCCCTACATGGGGATAAAAGCTCCACAGGCCAGTTATGCCTGAATTTTGTGGTCCCCATTGTGTAAAAAAAAAAATAAACATGAGAAATATAAAACAAAAACACTCAAAATGGAGAGGATAAAACTCCTCAAAAATTTAAAAAATGAACAATCATGAGCAGCAGCACTGCACACAGTACAGCAGAATGTTAGTGCATGTATATGTGTATGTGTAAGAGAGAGAGAAGGGCCAAGTGGTGATGCCCACAGGGAAAAACAAGGGAAAAAGCAGGAAAAAGGAGCAAGCAACTACAAAGCACTTCTACACAATACACAAGGACACTGAGAAGAAATGCCATATTGTTGTGCAAAGCACATCATCCCAGGCTCCACATCCCTATATGGAGGGGAAACCAATTACACGCTGGAATAGCACCTGCTGCTGCAACCTATATTCAGGTAGGCAAGCCCAGTGTTGCCAGCTAATATATTATATATATACTTGTAGTACTGTATTTAAATGAGTACAGCATATACATTCTTCAAACTTGTTTCTATGGAATCAGCAAATATGAGAAGAGCACACCAAGATAAAGGATTGAAGTGTGAGAGAGGGAGAGACAGACAGAGAGAGAGAGAGAGAGAGAGAGATAGAGAGAGAGAGAGAAATGAAGAGAGGATTGGATTTGAAGATTGAGTGGAAAGAGAGAAAGAGAGAGGGACAGATAAATTAATAAGACTGAGAATTGAATTGAGAGGGAGAGGGAAAGATAGAGAGCAGGATGTGAGGATGAGAAAGTAAGAGACAGAGAGAGAGAGCAGAGAGGGATGAGAGAGTGAGAGGGAGAGGGAGGGAGGAGAGAGGGTCTCAAAAATAAGAGAGAGAGAGAAAGAGGGATGGAGGAGAGAGAGGGAGGAGAAAGGGGGATAAGAGGGTAAGAGATAGAGAGAGGCATGAATTCAACAAGTTCTCTATTTTATTTTTTTCTCTCCCTCCCTCCCTGTCTTTCTAACTCTTTCTCTTTTTACTTTTCTTTCTCTTCCTTTGTTGCTCTTTTTCTCTTCACTCACCTTTTTCTTTATTTACTTATTTGTCTTTCTCCCTCTCTCTCTCTTTTATAGTTGGCAGCCCTGGTTTTTCCATATCACCCATGAATATTAGAAAGACTGTAATTACCCTCTTGTAGAGGATCCTGCATGCAGCAGGCAGAAGATCCCTCTGAGACGCAATCCCACAGATGCACCTGGATAGATGGTTTTTCCAGCATAACCCCTCAAGTGCATAATATACCATATTTACCCAACTTTAAGCACCCCCTCAAAATTATTTTTGTCATCCACAAAATTAAAATTCCACTGATGGGCAAATATATACAGTGAAATCTTCTTACAACAAATACCATTACAGAAAATGTTTCACCATGACAAACTGTTTTCCCCCCAAGTCTAGGCAGAAATCCTACGAGTTATGAAAATCTCATTACAACTAACATTTAAATTCCAGTAAAAAAAAATTAGAAACCAGTATACCAACTTTTTTTGAAGAACATATTGTGTTACCTCAATGAAAAATCTCCAATGAAGGCAGGCACAGTGTCAAATTTCAGTATCAAAAATGTGTCTGCTGTGACTGCATGGCTCTTATTGGGACATAGGGTGAAATAGTAGAGGACAAGAATCCTTGAAAAATCACCTGCATATTTATTTCCTGCATTAGGAAAGATGGGGGGGGGGGGTTGAAAAACATGAACCCAGGAAAACCCAGATTCAAAGGGGTTTGCATGTTTGAAAAATCCTAGTGATGCTGAAAAAATTTAAGCTATTTTGCAATGTCCACCTTTCAAAAATTGTACAGAAATTGTTTTGGAAAACTCAAAGTAAAAAAAAGGGCTAGTGTCATTCACCAGGTAATAAAGGTAAATATTTAATTTTTAACATTTAAATTTCTTTTCAAAGATCACATCTGTTCAAGCACTGAAAAGGCCACAAAAGGAATATGTTGAATATATGCAGGTTTGATTTTTTTTAATCTCCCAGTCAAAAATTTTCAATATCTCATTATAAAAAATTGTCTGTCATAACTTTTTCAATTTTTTGAAGTGCTCAGAGGTTTCTTATACAA